GGCTGAAGAATATAGCTCTGAATAGTTTACTTATATCTCTAATACATCAATACATACCAATCAAATGTGCACAGCCAGTTAGATTAATTGTGAACCTCAGCATAAAATAAAAAAAGTGCCCCTAAAGATTATGATATGGAATGCAATTTGGATTTTATTTGCTACTTTGGAATGATATGAACAAAACGTGATAAGCTAGCACTTGCAATAAACTTCACATCATTATCAGGACCTGCAAGGAGATAATGTGAACAAGTGCAAAAGTCCAGAAGACGTCCAGGTGATGAAGTGAGGGGAGCTGCAGCTTTGGACCTTCTTAGCATTAGCTTTCCAGATCACGCTCTTCCAGTGCTATCAGCCACCGGTTATCTCTGGGAGGAAAAACGTGTGTGTGTGGCATCCCAACGTGAAACACTGTGACGCAATTCATGACCAAGTGCCAAAGTCTTCCCCAAGAAGACAGATCAGCATCTCATACCCTTTGAATCACTGGGACACAATGCTGACGGGAGCAGCTGAATGGCAAACTATATTGCTGAACGTGCAGTTAATACCCAACACTGTGTCCCTGTAGCATGTATAGCAAAATGTTTGACTGGGCATCCTGGTGCAAAATGACTTACAAAGGCTAGAAAAGGCATTAAGATGTTGGCACCGAGCTAATGCTGAACCCTGCACTAACACTGCACGCAAAACGAGAAAAGGCAGCTTCTAAATGCATCGATATCTTTTGCTTTATTTCATTTGAAGTGATCTGGTATTTCATAATTAAAATTCATAAAATGTTTATTACGAAACAAAGCACAAAGTGCAGTCTATATATTTTAAATGCCAAATATGTGCTTCTTGTGCCGGTCTATGCTGGACCATTATCTTTCCATTTCGCCATTCTACTTTTTACTGTTTCCTGGTTTGATTTCTACTGCTCATCGCTTTAGCTATCTCACCCTCTCTGCCCTTTGTCACTGAACTTTAAACTCACTTATTACCAGCTATAAATGCTTCCTGCTGATTACTTTGTTCCTCAATCACGTCACATGTTTGAAAAAAAAGCTGAGCTGGTGCTTGCTGCTGTTCTCCTTTTTTTTTTTCTTCTTCTCTTATGTCATCAGAACAAGATAAGATGACTGTGGCAGTTCTCCAGGAAGTTATTGCTCAACTTTTACTTGACTGGTGAGTGTGCACAGCTTCACAGCTAAAACATTTGCACTACCCTATAAAATGTTGTTCCTTTGCAGGTAAATGTGTATGAGACAGCTGTCAGCCTTTATAAGTTTTTATTGCTGAATGTTAATATTAGCCACTGGTGCAGAGGTGAGTAAAACATCCTGCTGCATGTTATAAATGCTCCAGGACTTAGTGTGGATATTAACATGTTTACCTCTTTCAGGCCATGGGACGCCACACAGTATCACCTCGGGTCCTCCTTTACGTTCCCCTTGTTTATTCTCTTTTAAAAGACCACGCCGGGGTCACTTAGGCTGAGTGCATCAATCCAACCTTTGTTCTTAACGATACAAAGTACCTGGTGTAACTTTTGTCATAGTGTGGGACTCTTGACATAAAGAGAGCAAGCTTTAAACAATACAGACTCAGGTAAAAGGATCAGCCGATCAGTCCATCATTGGTCTATCAGTTGACTCTCAACAAGTCTACTGCACCATAAAACCTTTTATACTTTCACTTTAGACCAACTGACCTACCTGTTACACTGCTCTTTATTTCATTTGCCTGCTCAGATTTAATTTCCTGAGTCCTTAAAACAGGTTATGACACTTGTACAGAAAAAAATCCTCATTCTCCCTAAAGAATGGAAGAGGCCAGAACACAGTAGTCTCGTATTACAACTGTTGAATAAAACCCGCTCCTAACTTAAGATCACCATTGCTGTCAATCACTTAATCCTTATTTTATTGGGATATTTCAGCGTACAAAAAGGAAAAAGTGCTTTCCAAAAGCTAAGTCAAAAAACCAATTGTCTTTTCTTTCTTTCTTTACAAGGCATTGCCATAACTATTTTGGTAATTATAAAACACAAGAGTTTCGACTTACCCTCCTCGCTGCAAAGGTACGAGTAGAAGCCCTCTGACTTGAGCATGATGAGGAGCGATCCCCATCCCAGCAGCACAGCAGAGAAGAGCAAATTCTCAATGATAGCAGTCACTGCCATCCACCAGCGCCTGGCAAATGCTGTGGCCAGGGTTGGAGCCATGGTTGATTGGGAAAAAAAGTTAAAGACAGAAGCAAAAAGCAAGAGGAGAGAGATTTAGGGGACAAAGAAAGAAAGGGAGAAAGAAGATGTAGCTGGAAGTGCAGAAAGAACCTCCCTGACTGACGCTCGGATGAAAGATCACAGCTCACTTATCTGTGAAGAGAAAAGAGCAAGAGGAGGGGGGGAGGTCTTACAGTTAGCCTATCACTGTGACAGACAGATAGAAAGGCTCACTTCTTTTTATAAGATTACAAGATCAATCACTTAACTTTGAACCCAGCAGAGGAAGGCTGGCTGCACTGCATGGAAATCTGTGCTGTTTGTTTGTGGCACTTTTCTGATTAATTTAAAGTGTCTGTGTTAGTTAGATACAGAGAAGACGCTAAGCTCTACATCAACTAACATTAAGTGGTGAATGATTAACTTTTGTCATTGTAGGAAGATTATGACATCATGAGACAAAGACCTTGCATTACATTACAGGCACTTATAATACATGCACCCATAGTGGACTTTCTGCTGATTTCTGGAAAAACCAAACTGGTCTAAACTGGACATGCACGGAAAATGGGATTCTCTCACTGCCCATGGCCCCTCATGCCCATCCAACCGCAGCTTTTCTCTGCAATTAGTGTGGCACATCCACAGCCAGACAAACAATAAACAAATCAAACGGGAACAGCCAACCTCTCTCTCTGTCTCTCTCTCTCTCACACACACACACGCACGCACGCACACACACACACTGTCTGTTCAGCTAGTAGAATAAAAGTAGTTGCAGAGCTGCAGAGTTAGTTGTACGCCTCAACAAAATGACCAAATCAAACGAGAATACACTCCTGGAAATCATTTAATTGTAGGAGCTGTTGTTGAATGCCTCATTTAATTAAAAAAAAATGAAATCACTTTCCCACTCCTGTTTCAGTCATCCACTCTCTATAGCACACTTCAAAGCAAATTACAGATCTGCTTTGACATGTTCAGTGAGTCTTAATTTCTTACCACTGGGGCTCAGAGCTGCTCCTTCCAGCTTCAAAGTGATGCCTTCTGGTAGGCTTTGAGTAACCTGGTTTCTGTGAAAATCCACTTTTATATACCAGCGTCGCCCGCACATAGCGCCCCCTATGGACATTACCATGCAGTATGTCTGGACTCCAACCAGCCTTTATTTTGTTGACACTTTTATCACCAGATAGTTATATAATTTAATAATTGTGGGTCTAAATCCATTATTTTTACTTTAATTAAATGTGGTGAACTATGAAGAAAAAAGAAAATAACCTGTGTCTAATTAAACAGATTTTACAGGTAATGACAGGAAATATGACGGTTGTGTGTATCAGTTGATAAAGAATAAGAGCAGACTTCCCCTATTTCAGTATTTACGCCACCTGTTTACTTATGTTAATCTGAGAAATTAGAGAAAATAAAACATCAAAAAAGAATACTCCATTGAAGTCTTTGTTAAAATTCAGCAACAGTAAAAGTTAAAGTCTTAAATCTTTAAAGTTGATTTAACTAAAGCTTCAGCATAACTGACCAAAACCCTCTTGAGCAACTCTTGTATTGAGTGTTTTTGTACACATAAGACTTTAAATGAGCTGCAGTTTTTATTTCCTGTACAGGATTCGCCCCTTCTTAATTTTTATTATTGGTTCTGTTTCTTAGTTTAATTCTAAGCACACTGTTAAATGAAAAAAACGAATCTGGTTAAAGCAAGTTAACACACGTTTACACCGAAATGTCAGAGTTATATCAGCAAACTTGTTTTTCAGGTTGGACACTTGAGTTTGTCCCCCTGCAGTGGACTGTGATTCAGCTCTAATCAATTGGCCACTCAATGATTCAGTGACCACTGTGACCATATCTGCATAAACACTGATGTGCTGCTTTGTGTTGTTACAGTCTTCAGTATCTCACACTGAGAGCACTCTTTAAACCTTTCAACAGCAAAACAGTTAAACTAATGCGATCTCTCATCTCTAATTTTCAGCTCTAATCAGTCTGTTTGAATATCAGCAGGCCGATCACAAGGTGGAGGTACCCAGCCTTACTTCACAGTTATTGACAAACTCTTTACAGTCACATCAAGTACATTTAATCACTAGTGCACTGTTTTTCCAAGCCTTATCAAAACCATTTATTGACCTGCTTGCTTCTCACACCTTACATTTGTGTCAAATAGTCTAATCATTTAGATATTGTTTACTGTCTCAACAAGGGGCCAAATCTGTATGTTTAACTGTTAATCTTAAGGTAAAAACCAAAAAAATATCCGGTATCTTTTAAATTGTGGCACACACATTGAGAACTTGCTATTTTTTCATAGAATTAACGCCACCTTGTGGCTTTTAGTGATCCTGGCACAGTCATCCAGGTTCATGGCCCATATGCAAAGCTCAAGCTCAGCTAAAAAAACAGTAAAATGAGTCAAATTTGGGGAATTTGTTCAATTTTTTCACCTTTCAGGTTCACAAAAATGCTGCTATTTTAAAACAGATAAATGTATTGTGACTGCTTTGCTTAACACTTTTACTCGTCTGTGGTATGTACCATGAGTACTGTTTATTCTCCAATAAATCTTTACTCTCTCTGGAATTTCTACTCATTAGTACTCATTTCTAAGCATAAATAAGTCTAGCTTGTCTTAAAAATATACTCTCCTCAAGTGTTCACATCTAGAAAAGAAATCTGTGGGTGTCTAGTGGGACAGATTATTCCACATCCAAACCCAGCACTGTTGTGCTAGCACAAGAAAATGAATTACTCACACTGACGCATGCCACAGTGCAACTGAAAAAGTTTTTTTTTTATTGCACATTCATACTTGAAATCCAGTATTTGGTAGCAGAAGTAAAAAAAAAATAAAATAAAAATAAAAATAAAAGCCAACATAGTGCAATATGACAGAAAGCAGCAACAGAAACAAATCCCAACTGTAAAATGCTTTGTTTCCTTCATTCTAATGCATAAAGTCATCTTGAACATTATACATGATTGTAAAGTGGTATATATAATTTAACTGGCCTGGGCCATGCTTGATATTTATGTACATGATCTCAATCAAACACATAAGTGACAGCAACTCCGTGTTTTATAAGTGCATCAGTGACCACTGTTATAATCCACACATATAATCTGTTGTCAAGGTCCCTCATCATTAACCTATAGCCAGTAGAACAAACAGCGAGAGCAGCATCTTTATGGAGCTTTTAGTTCCTGGTGGTGTAAAAGGAAAAGAAATATAAGTGAGAGATAAGGGAAGCCAGAAAAAGCATTACAACATTACCCAAAAATCTATGAATCTTCCCTGTGATGGGCTGCAGGTAACAGTTTTCTAGAAATGCATATGTTTGATCTTTGAAAAAGGGAACACTAAATGTAACACCCGCCTTATCAACATTTACGCTTAGTCAAAAATTCCTTAGCAGCACTGCATCAACAGTGCCACAAGGACACCTGACGCAAATGACTGTTTTGCTATACCCAATACAAACAGAGCAAAGACAGATAAACTTTAAAAACATTTCCCATCAGTTACATAACAGTACTGAGGAAATGCTTTGTCCTGCAGTACTTGTGACCGATGGTGTGCCGCAGAGGAGAGATGAATGGTATGCTGTGGTAGTAACCACACCAAATAAAAAAGACCACTGCTCTTGAAGAAATATTCCAGTGTTTATGCATGTTTGGTTACTGAAAAGCATGCCTCCAAACGTTTTGTATGTAATTCCAGGCACAGGATACGGAATCAGGAATATATTCAGACACATAATACATAAAAAAAAAACAATCTACAATGTTTAAAAGTATAAATAGCAACCCAGTGTGTTAAAGTGTATTTTTGTGACAATGACATCATAGTTATTGTAATGCAATTCAGTCCTTTGAAACAGTAATAGTGACATAATACAAAAGTTGTTAAAGAAATTCAATACTCTGTGTGAAATGTATTTTTCAATCATGTTTCCTACAAAATTAAGTTGCATTACTTTTAGGCTCTATTTGATATAAAGTTAAAGTGACAGAATACAGAAATCTTCCACCCAGTGACGCCCAGTAACAATTTTTACGTGAAAAAAACAGATCTTACCATGCGAGGAGTTTTCTGGAACTGAAAAAAACAAACAAGCGAAATGTTAAACTCATTTCTAATTAATAGGTGACAGTGTATTAACATGAGAGACTGCCCCGCAGATCCTTTACACTGACCAACCTTTGATGGTGAAAGTGGTCTCCATGCCAGCATGGATATGGTCAGTCACATGACAGTGGAGCAACCATGTGCCTGGGTTTCCAGCCACCATCTCCACAGTCTGGAAGGTCCCGGGGAACAGATCAAAGACGTCTGCACGGTGCACAAGGTCCGTCTGACACACATAAGAGTGGTGCAAAAAAGGGGGAACAGCGAAGAGGAAATATAAATGGAGATATGATTCTTTCGGTGCGAAAAAAAGAATGGTCTTCCCGCTGCGAGTGACCACTGACAAAGCACAAACAAACCTTGTAAGTAAAGGTCTCTGCATGAAAGTGAACAGTGTGCATGTCTATTTCGTTGCCCATTCCGATGAGATACCAGTCAACTTTCTGGCCCTGAGTCATCTCCAATCCATGGAGGTTCCCATATAGCTTCCCATTGATCCCTGCAGCAGACACATTCACACACAGAATCAGAGACATGGTGCACAAGAGAAACAGGAAATGTGAAAGCAAACACACTTCAGCACACTCATCAAAAGCAAGCTGAGGAATAAAGGTCTGATTTTGTATCCAGTACAGGACTTCATTGAATTTAACCTCATTTCTACTGTCTGATAAAGAGAAGTGGAATGTCCCTGCTTCCTGCTGGATCAACTTTAGATGATGTACATTGATGTTTGTGGACTGAATTTGGGGATTTGCTTGTTAGTATGCATGCATGTAATTTATTTTATCTTAAATAATTTGCATTTGAAACTTTTTGTGTTGTTTAACTCTCCTCAGAATTTTATTGGCACTTCTACACTGTGCCCTAACTTTACCCAGATTTGCCTATTTTATGATACAGCCAGGGGTTAAAGTGGGCCAGAAGAGGAATCCAGCAAAGATCCAAAACATCATTCAAGCACCGTCATTTAATGAGTAAGTAGACAGGTTAATGCATGTTACTACTGGATGAGTTTATTTTTCACGAGCTGCAGGCTGGCATGCCCTTCAGTGGCAGCATGGAGATACTTCCTCAGTAACAAGAAAACAATCCCTACGATGCCTTCATGGTACAGATATAAATTTGCAGTTGCTGAACTTAAGCATCTAGCTGCAGAAGAGGAGTGAGCATAAATGGAGTAACGTCAGGTCATTTCAGATGCAACTTTTCAAACAGCTCAACAGACACGAAATAAACTGTTTCTTTCACAAAATGTGTCTCTGACTAAACACCAGATTTAAATATTGATTAATTCCATCTTAAATCAACACAAGCCTGCTTGATCTCTGATCTGCTCGAGTTCCAATTTGCCTAAAAATTTTATGGGCGAAAGTTTGAACATGTATAATGAGTCCTGTGAAATTTTAGCTTCATATACCAAATGCCTTTCAAGATCATTTTTAAAAAAATGGTCAGTCAACCTGCTTTTTGCACGTTGAAGATTGTTACGGCCCTGGGCCGGCTGTGTACCTTTGTTGTGCTCTGTCTTTAAGACTCCACAGGTCCTTCCCAATTGGAGACCAATCAGCCGCCGCCAGCTCTCCAATCGGGAAGGACCTGTGGAGTCTTAAAGACAGAGCACAACAAAGGTACACAGCCGGCCCAGGGCCGTAACAAAGATATTCATGTTTGAACATGAATATCTCAAAAACTGTTTAATATAAAAGCATCCAAAAGTTCTTCCACAAAAGTAAAACTATTTTAGACAGTCTTGTCCAAACAGAACGGAGTTTCCAGATGGTGCTATAGTTATAAGTTATGTCTGTGAAGGTTCTCAGTCATAAGTTAGAAATTAATTTTGTTAAATTTGTGCATATTTTCTATTTTCGAGATCTGGGTCATTCCATTTCAAATCATCAAGTTTTTTTTTGAATATTTTCTGCTCAACCATCTCTGATTTGCTGTCCTGATTCATTGTGGTGGCAACAAAAACGATTACATTTATACTAGGTTACATCAAGATCAACAGACATCAATTTATGTTTATCTTCTCTGGATATAATAGGTGAATATGTTTACTAAATCTAAAGTTTAATTCTTTGGCCAATAAGGTTGTTTTTCTTTCTGTGGCCCCGTTCACTCTTCTTACCGTGCATCTTGTTACTCTCCTCAAACTCTTCATCTGGAGTGAAGTTCTCAGGGTTGAGACCAAGGTACGTTCTGATGTTGTCTCCCAAATACCAGGACTTGTTTTCATCATGCACCATAAAGAGCAGTGCAAACTCCCTCTCCACGTCACTCCTCTCCCTATCGGGACCCTCCCCACGCTTCAGAGTCCCAGGCCTGCATATCACCAGAGGCCCCAGAAGGCCGCTGTACAGATCCTGAACATAAACAAACACCTTATCAGAATAAAATCTAATACTTCAACTCCTGCTTAAATATTCTAGTTGCGCTGTAAATGATGCGCTTCTATTTTTACCATAACAAAGTCAACAGTGGAGTAGTAGATATAAGAGATACAGTTAGGATCCGTGACCCCTGGACCAGAGCTTTCAGGAACATCCCAAGTTACTTCAATAAAGTTGCCTGAAGGTTCAGAGAACATAAAAAGTATGAATCCTACTGCTTCTTTAAAAAGCCAGCATTTTTTATGCCCGTTTAAAAATTCATTTCTCACCGGGTTTGACAGGAATGTGTCCACCGCTGGCCCTAACGCCATGTGTGGTTATTGAGTATGGTCGGGTGGCATTGTTCTTGAATATAATCACGATCTGCTCTCCTACTTCTGCTTTGATTATTGGCCCTACAGGAGAAAATAAAACTCATGTCATCTTCATTCTTCTCTTAGTAAAAACAACATAAAGAACTGTTAAGCTTACCTAGAATTTCCAAATGCTGCTGGTTGGGCTGCCTTTTCTTCTGAACACTGAAGGTGTCATCAGTATATTCTCTATACACCACCTTCTTATAGCGTGAGCCAATTCTGTTCTTTCCTTTTCCCACAAATATGCTGCCTGGACTGGGAGACAAGTAGCAATTTGCTTCTATTAACAAACAGTAATAAGTTATGGCATGAATTACAGGTTGTGGCTTCAACAATGAAACGTATCATCCTGCAATTATCTCACTCACACACCTGTCCTTTGGTGTGCTATGGTGTTTCTCCAGCTCCCAGTCTCTCTTAGGTGAATAGTCCCACTCTATTTCCTCAGCACTGATGAAATATCGCACAGTCTTGTTCAGCTTTGTGTATTTGTGATTTACTTTTTTTCCTGGGCACTCATTAACTTTATACCACTGCCTCATGCCACCTGAGTAGTGATCTATTACTGTGCAGCTCACCTCATACACACCTGTTTGGAGAAACAACAAACAAGAAAAGGTTAAGGATTTGGACACATTCATGTGCCTTAAAAACAGGGCAACATGTGAAAAAGGCAAACTTAATAACTGATTGTGTCGCTCTTCGCAGAATGAACTGCAATCAAATGTTTACAATAACTGACAATAAGTCTCTCACATCACTGTGCAGGAATATCAGCGCACTCTTCTTTGCAGGAGATTTTTAATTCAGCTACATCGGACAGTTTTCAAGCATGAACAGTATGTTTAAGGTCAAGTCAAAGCATCTCGACCTGATTTAAGTCACTTTGTCACGGTCCCCGTGTCTCTCTGGTTGGCCCACTCTGGCTACAGGTTTTGTTGTTGTTGTTGTTCATTTTTGTTTTCTTTGTCTCTCCTCCTCCTCTCTGCCTGGGTGGAGCTCGTTACGGGCTCTCGCTCTTGGCCCACGCACCTGTGTGATTGTGTCCACCTGCTGCTGATCTGGCTGATTTCCCCAGCTGCTATTTAAGGCAGTGGCACAGAGCAGCTCACCGCTGGAATGTTGAACCTCCTGAGTTCATGCTCGCGGCATTTTCAAAAGAATCCCCTGTGTGTATTTTGCTGTGGAACTAACGTTAACTTCTGTGTGTAGATATCCCTCTTCTGGACCACATCACGGGACCTGCCCGGGTGTGGCAGCGTGTGTGAAGTTTTGGAGCGAGTGCGGCTGAAGAGGAGGTCGTGTGTGCGGAGGAGCTGTGGCGGTGACTGTGTGGAAGAGGAAGCGTGTGTGTGGATTTCCCCCCTCCTTCTCTCCCTGGAGCCCTGGACCCCCCTCCCAACTCACTGTACATATATATAGCACTGAGGTGATCCCTGTTGTAAATAAATCTCCTTTTGGTCTCTGAGAAAGAACTGTCTGCGCGTGAGTCCGTTCAGTAGCCATGACACACTTAATTGGTCACTTCAACTTGCTGGTGTGTTTTGGATTGCCGCATAAGTCGAGTGAGCTTGAACTCAGGGGAACGGACTGATGGCCGGGCATTGCCCTTGTGGATTTTTGGTAGAGAGCAGAATTCATGTTTCCATGGTTCAATTATGACAAGACGCCCAGGTCTGGAAGCAGAAAAGCAGCTCCAGACCATCGCACTACCAAGAGCATATTTGACTGTTGGTGTGAAGTCATTTTGTCTCATCAGTCCACAGAATACTTTCCCCAAAGTCTTTGGGATGATCAGGATGTTTTCTGACAAATGTGACATCCTGGAAAAGCCATCGAGGAGTAACTCCTGGAGTAATTTTGGTCCCGCCAGACACACAGGTTTCGGAAGGTTCCCCACTGTTCCAGGTTTTCTCTCACAGTGGTTCACAAGAATACTAAAGACTTTATATTTACATTGCTTTATAATCTGTTCCAGACCGACAGACCTCAATGATTTTCTCTCAGCTTTTTTCTTTACATTGGGGCTTTAAGTGTTACTTTTTGAGATCTTTTAGCCTACTTCACTTGTGCAGACAGGTTCTGTGTATGTGATTCCTTGATTCAACAGGTCTTGCAGTAATGAGGCCTGAGTGTAACATGTGAAAATGAACTAAGCTTTAACTCAGGGATAATTACTTTCTACACAGGGCTATAGGTTTGGATAACTTTTCTCAATCAATTAATGAAATCATCATTGAAAAACTGAAATATTATATTTACTCAAGTTATTATTTATTTATTTTACTAATTATTAAAATATGTTTGATGAAATGCGAAAAAATAAGAAACCAGGAAGGGGGGAAAGTACTTTTTCATGGCATGGAAGATATAAATGCACAGAGTACAAAAACCTTTGATTTCATGTTTATTTCAAATGGCACCTAGCTCATGTTTCCTGTCAGTTTGACTGCATGTATTTTGAGTCAAGCTGAAGAAAAGCATGTGACAAAACAATGCTATAATAAACTGTCAGTGATTACCACTGCAGGAAAAAAGATGTTGTTTGCACCTTTTTTGCAAAGCTTAGCTTGCTTGGGGTTTTCCTTGTTTTGCAAATGTCTGCGCAATATGAGAAAACAGATGCTGTATATTTTGTGAATCTAGATCTTTGCTTTGTTTTTTTTGATGAGTGAAATTCTAATATTCTATTTTATGATACATACCACTATTTAGATCTATAGTGCTAACTTCGCTACCTATCCATACTCCCCTTTTTCACTGCAGGAACAACCATATAGCACATGTGTGTGTGTGTGTGTGTGTGTATATATATATATATGTATATATATATGTATATATGTGTGTATATATGTATGTATGTATATATATGTTATATGTATGTATATATTGTATGTATATGTATATATGTGTATATATGTATATGTGTATATATATATATATGTATATGTGTATATATATATATGTATATGTGTATATATATATATATGTATATGTGTATATATATATATATGTATATGTGTATATATATATATGTATATGTGTATATATATATATGTATATATATGTATGTATATGTATGTATATATGTATGTATATATATATATATATATACAAGGAAAATCTCTGGCTCTCACAGACCTGTAACGTCTTCTGTAAGAAGCTTTTCTGTCCCCCACTCGGCCT